TCAGCCTGACTCACAGAACACCAGGCGTCTCAGGATATCAACGGCAAAGCATACTTAAAAGCAGAAAAAGGCCACAGCCACTCCTCTTCCCTACCTCCACCAGCAGCAGAGATCCCTGTGCTGCTGCCATTAAAAGCAATACTCCCTCATGTAATCACTGTTTAGGGCTCAAGCAGATATATTCTTCTGAAAATGAGGGGGGGAGGCGGGGCGGGGAAGAAAAAAAAAACCAAAAAAAGGTAGTATGCTGGCTATGCTGGTGACAGGTCTCCAAGCAGGGTAGAATTATCACCGACTGCAACTTTATCAGGGTGTACTTTCCTAAGCTTTCAATATGGTAACAACACATGCAAAAATAGCAATCAAACAAAAAGGTATAAACACGTACTTAAAAGTCAGCTATGAAAGACAATTTCAAAACTCCTACTTTACACCTATCACTTACAAAGTTCCATTACAATATACAGGTATAATACAATTAAAACACATTTATAATGGTAAGTTCTATTGTAAAAGACACCATCTAATAAATGTATGTATAGAAATACATATATAGATAAATAAGTATTTTGCACAACCATCGGTCTCCATGAGAAAGTAGTCTGCAAGTAGATAGTGCTGTGTACAGCAGATTTCACTGTGACAGTAAAATCTTAACAAAACATTGTGTGACCTTTCTGCATTCAAATTTTCAGTCCAAATTGTGCATTAATAGAGTGCTTGCAGCAGGACTAGAGAATGATTTATATAAAGACTGGTGTTAATTACTGACCGTGATCAGGAAGATAAATGAGACAACGTAAGGCTCTCAGTAGCACCCTCCTCAACTCCTGCTTAATTCTCCAATGTACTGCCACTGTTCTCCACAGGGCTACAAACTAGCCCTGAGACCACCAATATGTCATGTTCTTCCCCAGTTGCTTTGCATTCTGCTCCCCCTTACCAATGGGGTAACAGTTCTGTCTTAGCTGCCTGACAGCAAATCAGCACCAGTAACAAAAATAAAATTAAACTTCTAACATTCAACAGCATAGTTAATTTCAGCTTATGATCCATATTGCTCGTTACAACAAAAGCAATGTTTGAGAGAACATCTCTAGACGACTTCTATTGCTTCTGGCAGGAGAGAAAGCTCTTCTCTTCAGGAGCATTGGGAGGAATCACTATTTGTAAGCCTTCTGCTGCTGGATTTACTCTGGTCAAGGAAAAACACAAAGGAAATCCGAGGGAAGGAACAAGTCAGCAAAGAAATAGACAAGATGGCACAGATGGGAAAGAGAAAGAATAATCAGAAAACCAGGGAAAACATTTGTGAGACAGGGCAGAACTTGTAGATAGTGGTAACTTTCATGTACCTAATTAGAAGTTTAGAAGGCCTGCACGTGAAGAGACTATTTGCATCCTAGGGCTCGGGTCAGTAAATGGCTTTCAGCAGCTTTGATTTAGTGAACAGAACCTTTCACGAAATGCATCCCTTGTAAACATAATTTGCAGAGAAGCTATAAAATTTCTCAAGAACATTGTTATAGATTAATGAAGTATGGAGGACCCTTAATGGGAAATTAAGCTATAACAACGCACATCAAAATCTTTACACTGCTAGTGTAAAAATACTTATTAAAAGATATAGCCAGCAAAGTTAACCTTTACTTTTATAAAAGGGCTATGCTGTTCATATCTGGCAGGCAGCCGAATCTGTCTCTACTCTCCTATCTTGTTCACCCATAGCTCTTTCTGGGTTAGCTTCTCACTGAAAGTTTAGTGGTCCTCTCACATCTTGCTGTATATGTACTATAAAGCAGTCTGAACAGCACAGAGAAAGCAGGTGCCTCTCAGCACCAAGCATTCCTATCTTACTCCGGAAGGTTCATCGCCTTGACTCTTAACTAAACTCTTTTATAAGATCAAGCCCCCAAAAAAGCTACTGGATGGTATATTTTGCATAATGTAAACACATATCAGAGGCAACAAGGTGGACAAAACAAGAAAGCTTCAGTCAGAATCAATACTTAGTGATAAATCTCACCTATTTCCTCTTTTAATTGTAGGATGAGCTACAATGGGAACTAAGCCTTCAGTTCCGTGCTACCTGTAACATTCACTACCTCTTTGGAAAGAAGAGATTAAATGAACAAAAATACCATTATAAAAGTGGCAGCTGTATTTCTTCAGCCATTCTGCCACTTACAAAGAAACACAGAATAGTAATACCAAGGGTCCCAGACTGTATTCTCATTCTCTACTAATCCACTGACTGCTTTCTACCTCAGTTCAGTGTGAGCCAAACTGCAACAAACACCACAATATATGAAACCACCTCTGTGGTCTGTATGATCAGGCAGAAAACTCATCAAATCTGCATGAAACGGACTGAATCCCAGGTGTTATACCACCCACACGGTCTGGTGCGATATTCAGAGTGATTCAGGAATACCACATTTTTTGTCTTATATGTGGAAAACTGCACCCAGTATAACCTTGCTTTCTGCACTGCATCCCCAGCTCCCTCAGTTCCAACCCTCTGTGGGAGCTTCTGCAAATTTCTGTCTTCCTTTCAATTATCCTTGAATGGCAACATCCAGAGACACGTTAACTTCACTTTTTAGCTAACGATAAGCTCTATTTTCTTATGGCAACATCTCACGTGTGCTCTATGCACAGCATCTCTCAAACGTAACCAACTAATGTTTCGAAGAAGGTCATAATAACCTATGAAATTGATAGAAAGGGAAAAAAAAGTAAATATTTTAAAAGTACAGTAGCTTTTGACTCCTCCGTAATGGCAGTTAGGTGAAACCCATCATCCCCTCCAGTTTAGCCTGCCGAGCACTTGGATATGTGTCAACTATATAAACCAGAAGCTCCACTACAGGAACTCACCAGATGCACTCCAACTCCTAACAGCAACATCAGGATTCAAAACGGTTCCTTCAGACAGCCTCAAACCATGAACTTGGTGAGGAAATTCAGTGCAGCAGACCACACCAAAAGAAGTCCAAAATAAACCAAACTCTCAAATACAGGGTAGGTGCAGGGCCATAGACACCACCTGTTGCAGCTTACTCACTCCCTTCTGTTACACCAAACTACTTGCAAACATATACACAGCTTTAGTTTTATCCAGGTTTTTCAGTGACTATGTTTACTTCATGGAAAAGCAGAAGCAGTGACATTCAGATTGTTGCTGAAATCTTTTTGCTTCATTTACACAGGCATTCAATAGCACAAACTGCACTTTCCTCTTCTTTCTAAAAGAAAGTGCCTTTTTCCCCCCCAAAAGAAAGTTTCTCCACTCAAACCTGAAGTCTATATGCAACTTGAGTCCAGATGCACAAGTAAAATTGTCCACCCTCCTGCAGCTTACAGCTACACATTAATAGCTGGAAGAACAGTACAACCGGGCAACCACTTCAGAGAAGCAACACCTGACCATACATAGTACTACCACACCATGAAATAAAATGTGAGCCTTCAGTTGCCATTCAGTTCTTTGTGATTAACCATAATGGAAATACAGAGGAAAAAAGAGAGAGAGGAAGAACACTTCAGTGCAATATAAAATGTTTCTGAACAGCTGAAAGCAGACAAGCACCATGAGATAGCCAGACAGATGTAACACAGATCACAGTAAATCTGTCACCGAGACACCAGTGGCACACAAGTGCTACATTTATAACTGCAAATATGAAAAGAGCAAACATGCTAACCCTTCTACAGAAAACACACACCTTTTCTCTCTACCATAGGTGACTGATGCTGCAATTTGACACTGATGGACAACTCTTTCATGTCCATGAAATCACACTGACTCTGGCACAGCTCTGCATATTTGAAAGAAGTCCCTGCACACAGAACATCTCACAGCTACTAAAAACCAAAAGAATTGAGAAGACACATGACATATGATGCATCTTCTAATGAAAACTTGTCTCATTCTAAAAATCTGGAAATCACACTAAGTGGAAAGCTCATGCTGCATAACAGCATATTAACAGATTATCTTCTGACAAATTATTCAATATGAAGGAAACTACATTAAGAGACCAACTGGAAAAAAAACCAGGGAAACAACCAAAACTGTATTTGCTATGGCAGAAACACACATAAAGGAAAAGCTAAAAAAAATGAAAGTTTACGTACAAAGGGAAGTCAATTTATATACAGGAGTGACTTGCTTACCAAGTTTTAAACATTGATACTCTAAATGGAGAGTTAACATACTTCTAACTTTAAAAGTTTATGTTTGACTCCAGGGACGATGTGCTAAACTGCTTCTAGGTAATTTCTTTACTGCTGTCTTAACACAAGCTCAGTTTAGTCCCTAACAGCCATTGTGGAATTCAGTGATGCAGAATACTGCACAGACTGTCTTTCAGAACCATGCATTCCTTATAAAACACAGTTTCACCGAGTGAAACACAGCAGCTTCTTCTGAAAAAAATAGAGAAACATACCTAGGCTAAAGCAAAGAACAGCACTTGTTCCTCTGGTGAAAGACTTTAACTCAGAGGCAACACCAAGCTAAATATTGTTATGTTTCTTAGATGAAAACTGATTTAGTCTTGGCCAGAAGATAACATTTCCAATAACTAGAAACCCAGAGCACTTCATAGCACAAGGCTGGCATAAGTCCAAAGGGGCAGCTCACAAAATCATCACCATTGCTTCGAAGAGCATCACCTGGCACTGCTCTTAGGTAGTCTGACAACAGCAGCAACAACCTCCATAGAAAAGTGCATTTGGAGTGAGCAAACCGGGCTGGACAGCCCATGGAGAACACGCTTGCACCATCAGCAACGCTTCTGAACAATGACACCCAACAGGATGCTGAAACTGTCAGAAAACCACACCTCACATCACAGATGACCACTAGCATGTAAACAACGGTGAATTTTTTAAACCCATTCTGTCAGGTAAGAAAATAACAAAGAAATTTACCATTCTGTTCCGTCAGGTAAGGAAGTTACAAAGAAATTTACCATTTGCCCTCCTAATTTTACCTAAATAGATCAAGCCAAAGCCTCCCTGGCCGATCTGACGGCCCAGACGCCAGACTTTTCCTTCTGTGTCTTTCAGGATCATGTCTCTTGGGAGAGGAACTGGCAGTTTGCTTCTGCCGCGATCCTTAGGCGGCATCGCACCTTACGGGGGGAAAACGAAATAAAAAGTTAACTTTTGCCAGAAGAAACAACATCCCTCGATGTCCTTTGCCCAACAGGCACCGAGCAGAGTCCCAGCTCTCCGCGGCCTTCCTGGGCGATTTCCCTCAGGGCGGCGGCCGCGTGCCGGGAAGCTCATTCTTCCACCACCCCACACCGACACAGGGCCCATCAGTCGAGCGGTAAGAAGGGGCAGCTCACTCGCAGCGGCCTCCTCTCCAACGGACGGGGCTAGCAAACGGCCTGCGCTCAACACCGCCGCCCG